TTATATCATCATATCAATGGCCTTAGGCCAATGAACACAAATTGAATATTCAATTGAATATAAAGACTTTGTGTAGTCATGACTATATACGTGCATTACTTGTGTCATTGTAATTTTGCCTGCAAATACAGCCATCTCTCCTAGCTCCTCACTATTCACAGGTTTGTTGTATGTAAGCAGCTGTTAATAATAATGTTGAATTTAATATAAGCCTTGTCTACCGTGTTGTTCAATCCAGTTTCCACATTCATGGCCCAGAACTAAAAGGGCTTTCTCTGATTCACGAACACAATTATGAAAGCAGATTTCATCAATCACATCTCTTTAAGGTAAACCCACATGTTCGCCCTCACTTCCCAACCAAAGGTTACTGCTACCATTGTAATTTTTTATATGTCAATAATAATATTATTCCAACATTTGTATTTATTTTTTCACAAGAGCATTTAAACGAGTTACCACTCCTGAGCTCTTCGTGGTTGAATTAACTATGGCTGTGACTATGACTATTCCTATAAAACAAATCAAAGTCAAAAGCATACGCTTGCTTAGCTTACCTTTACTACTGTATGCCATCGAGAGATGCGAGTCATCTGATGCCTTCTGCACACTCTAACTCCGATCCTCGTAAACAAAAGAACAGATAAATTAAACTCATCCCTTATGCAAACGTCTAATATGTTTTTCGTAATACTAAAAAGAGGCGAATGAAGTGACCGTAAAATATGCATGAACTGAACTGACAACTCTTGCATTTTCATCTTGGTATTAATTTTCGCAATATGACCTTCATTTGTGTAAAACTCTTTCGAGCAAAAGAAATTGCTTGAAAACATTGGCACGGACAAATGTTAAGATTCAATTCTGAAACACTCAGAACCTTACCTCTGAACCAGATACTTGCTCTGCTAAGCCCTTTTGCAATGCGATAAAGGTCTCCAGTTACCCTGAAGCGATCCATCGACACGTCTCATCCTATCTACCTTCACACTTATGTGTTATTTAAGATAACAAAATCAAATCAACGAGTTTTAAAGTTGTGGATTTCATTTGATGCTTACGTAGGCGAAAATGAAAAGTACAATTTTTTCACATCGTGAAACAATGCTGTAACGAGAAGATCATGGAAACAGCTGAAATCGACCGTTCGTGCAGCTCCTGCGAAGAAACGATCTGCTCGCTGCGCGGCGCGGTCACATGATATGGTCAGTGGCCTTTCCTAAAAGGAAGTGGCAGGGACTGGAGGTCGGAGGAAAACCGGAATCGACAAAATGTAATTCATTTCTGTACAGGAGCAATGAGCGCGTGACTGGCGTGTAAAAAGTCTACGAAGCACTTTCCATGTCGTGTTGTTTCAGGTATTCATCATTTTGCAAAGTTTGACACTATCAGCTGAAGAATCTTTATAGTAAATTTCAAAGTAAAAAGTCGCCTCAGTCCGGCGGTCGATCTAAAATTCAGAATTCTGCATTTACTTGCAAAGTGTATCTTCAGTAAGACAGTATTTCATGTTTTTGAAGTTCAATACACGCAACAAAATAGAAGGACATTTATATTAGGAAGCGAGATAAGTAAACATCGTCTCGGCACCTTAATCTTTTCCAAATTAAAGCATACATCTCAGAGGAGAATAATTGGCCCTTAGTCCCAAAACTTGACTTGAAACTGTAACGATACAGTACAATACAGACAATACATTAACGAAATAACTTTAATATAAAGCATGAAAAAGGTGTTTGTTTGTTTTCTTTTGTTTTTTGTTTTGTTTTTTTTTTTTTTTCAGTCAGTAACATGCGCGATTCGCGGATAAGGAGAAGAAGCCGAATTTTTATTTCTAAATAGGAGACGAAAACTTTTCCTAACTGACCTAAAAGCCGAGCGAAACCCGGAAGCGGAGGACGTCGATAGCCAAAAGACTTGTTGTCGAACCGACCTATGTCAAATGAATGACTTTGCGTGGAATGGTTCGTTTGAATAAGCAATTAGAGCAGAGGCCAGTGCGCTAGTTTGCGGTGTAGATTGCTACTTTTCGCACGCCAGCTCACGCCACGAAAAATGTAGTTTCGCCACGCTGGGTAGGTTTGAATAAGCTTATAAACAGAACAAAAATATCTTACTTCTCTTTTTCCCTTTTCTGCTGATATGTTTCATGCTCTCTGCATTTTGTTGTTGCTTCGTTTTTGCCACGAAAAAGCTCTCCCTCATGTACCCAACAATGTTCTCGTTAAATGGCTGTGAAGCAACTCGCGAAGTGTCGAAGGGTCCTGCAAAAAAGGCGGGAAAGTTAGCGGGAAACACGCGCACAGCTGTGGCTTTTAATTGTTGATCGCTTGCTCTTCTGAATGGCCATCGTCTTTGTATGAAAACAATTACCGTTAATTCACCGTTAATGATCTAACAGAGGAATATGATCAAATATGGACTGGACTGGATTGATAAAAATTGGCGACCCGAAGCGTTTATTAACAATTTTAGGGGTCCTGTAGGTCCTTGTAGGGGG